TCTGACTTGACGTTTCACTCTATTAGCTATATTGTGCAACTCGTGCTCACTCTACAGGCTACAATTTTTTACAGATTCTTTTGATTTTTATTTTGTGTGTCAATGTCATTATGAAGATGATCCCTATTGATTTTCGTGATGATCGGATAATTTTTCACCGAAATATCGTGTCTGACTTGACGTTTTTCTCTATTAGCTATATTGTGCAACTCGTGCTCACTCTACATGCTACAATTTTTTACAGATTCTTTTGATTTTTCTTTTGTGTGTCAATGTCATTATGGAGATGATCCCTATTGATTTTCGTGATGATCGGATAATTTTTCACCAAAATATCGTGTCTGACTTGACGTTTTACTCTATTAGCTATATTGTGCAACTCGTGCTCACTCTACAGGCTACAATTTTCTACAGATTCTTTTGATTTTTATTTTGTATGTCAATGTCATTATGAAGATGATCCCTATCGATTTTCGTGATGATCGGATAATATTTAACCGAAATATCGTGTCTGACTTTTCACTCTATTAGCTATATTGTGCAACCCTGTAGTCACTAAAGACTGTTTAATCATTTCTGACAGCTGCCAGTGGGCGTATGTTACCTTGCCTGGCAAGCTATCTTTTAACGTGTCATCGATAAGTTTAAATGTTCATAATTACTTACTAAAAATTAATACGATGATTGACCTTTACGCACTTCCGTATTCCAAAATACCTTCTCTGGATAATTCCAAGGTTAAATATCCAATATAAGAATTTGCTGCTTGTATGGGTTGTCTTCTATATATGTACATACTAGTATACAATACTCACCACGTGAATAGTGTTATTTCAACTGACATATACACACTAGTAGATACTGGGTGACTATAAATAGCAGGGACTACCTTCCCTTTGTCACCTAACAACCAACCAACCTCCCTTTTGGACCCAAGATAGTTAATCCTCGAACCCCGTCTTGCTTCATTTAATGACAATAATATAATTATGGGAGTGAGTTTTTGTCCGCGTTATGTGTTAAACAGTATTTTAAGTAGCCACTTGAAAAGGCAAGAAAGCAGAACGAAATAAATTAGAATTAAGAAATTTTTAACCGAATTTCGAAATGAAGAATTTCATTGAATTTTTTTTTTCTTCAAAAAGCCTTTCCAAAGGAGTCATTATATACTTGATTTGTATGTTCTTTATAAGTAAAGAATGATGCATATAGATTTGCAAGTTGATCGGGCACGTTTTCACGTTTTCAACTTGAAGGGTACCATCTCTACAATTTATTCACAAATTAATATGCAAATAATATATCTGGTGGGGAGCACGGTTTGTGGTACGGCGATCGTTCTACGTTTGCGGTCTGCAGGTCGGAACGCGGTGCGCCTATTTTTTCTAAAAGGATCCGGCGAAACAAGCACGGAAACCATACTACAACATTTTTTAGCTATTAGCAAAATGTTTCAAGACAAATTTGACAAGGGCGAGATATTAGCACTGTATTTGAAGAGCGAAGGATGAGGATTTCATGATCTGTTTCAGAAGATGAACGTGCTCGGAGAATACCACCATCTTGTGCAATAATGCTCTGTACTTCTAGACTTATTTTTTAGATATCTCCATCACAGTTTCTCTATGTATGTGTTTGCAACTTTCAATATGTGTGTAATCACGAGTCACACTGAAGATCAATTGGGTTAAATTTGAATGTACCGAGGTTAATGACTCGACTAGAAACTCGCTAATGTATGGATGGATATATCAAAACACCTTGAGGCATTCTGTACTGAAAATGCACGCCGGGCGCCACACCGAAAAGAGGACTAAGTATAAACAAGGCTTTAAGGCACGAACATGCAGAATACAGAGCACGGTCGCTATCTGCTGTAAGGGAACTAGGCGTGCCTTTTTTTGTCGGTCTAATAGGAATGGGACACGTTTTTTTTAAAGACACAAATTACGCTACAAAATATTTCAGCTATTCGCAAACTGAACAAATATAATATAATGGTAACTAAATATTGTCTCTTACAGAAGCTAAATAATGAAATCCTGGTTTACATTAACTAGAACCATTCATTGCATATTTGATTACTTTCTTGGACTATTGGCAAACACGCATCTTTACATTCTTTGAATAATAGTACTCCAGATATCACCGAGGGGATTACTTGATTATCATATTGAAGGTTTAAACCATTGGTGTGCACTGTGGTCCATCCGATAACTTTAGCACAGATGGTTCTATGATTTGGTTTTTATGCATCGGTGCAACAGTTTCAATAAATTTATTTAAATCCATCATCAACCGACTAAATAAAGAAAGGTTTACGCATACATTACATGGTCGTAGATACTAACGGCAAGATATTTTGGGTTAGACGTTCAGAATAGTTTAAAGGGCCATCATTTTAACATTCAAACGCGGGTAATTCTGGACACACATGCATTTGAACACTATTACTGATTAGCTTAACCTGAAAATTCCCGATTCTGAGACCTTTAAGGACACACTTCCCCAGTTTAAGGTGTTTATTTTTCAGTAATTTTAGCACCTAACTTTTCCAACCTACTTTAAGAAATAGGACTGCCCCTTTAAATAATAATATAATAATTGTTACGAGGCGACAAACTACTTTGCACCTCTTAAAGTCACAATAAACATATCTGAAAAAGACAATGTAGATTCATGTTAAGCCACCCTGACACTTCAACGATTTCTGTATGCACTTCAGCGTGCATATGAAAAAAATGCTTCCTGGACTAGCGTGCAAACCATGTCGAATAGATAATTTAATTTTTTTTCAAAAATTTGGCATTTATAAATGTTACAAATGTCCTCACAAAAAAGAATTAGGCTTTTTAACTCTATAGAAGCTCGAATTCAATCGTGATGTATTTCAATATGCTGGGCTTGATGTTGATAATTACTTAATCAAGTTCCAAATTACCGATATTTCGTTTAACCTGTTGTAGTAATTGCCTAGACCTATCAATGATATCTGAGTTTTCACAACAGGTTAAATTTGATTTGGTTATTGGCATTGATAGCAAAGATTTCGAGGAAAACTCAGTAGACTGTTGTAAATTGATATGATATTGATATATTGAAAACTACGCCCTTTGAATTTCTTTAATATATGATATATGATGTATTTTAGTAAAATAATGTGTCTCTTATACTCGTCTCTTGTGGTGATCTCCCCTGCATTAGGGAAATACCAACAGACTGGTCGTCCTTGTTTAATCAATACTCCCAATTTACCTATTTTGGTTAATTTGACTTGAACATTACGTAATATAACGTATGAACACGTTCAAAATATAAAATGGCAGTTCAATTGAGAAGCTCACCATCGGTTACACCAATCTTACATTAAATGTTCACAGCTACCGTCGAAATATTTTCTCAAGATTCCACGTTTGTAAGTTTTCATTTTTTTTTGACAATCCGCCGAGACAAACGACATTTAAAGAAATAGAAAGTGAATTTCTAGTATGGGGTATATTTGAAGAGATTACACGATTTTCGTGAAGTTTTAGTCCAGGCTATTTTTAGAAAATCTTCTTTCTCTCTTCCTTTTGGGGTTTTTGCATGCCTATTTTTGAGTAATTTTTGGTCTAGATTTGGAATTTGATGTCTGAAATTGCATTTTCTTTCAGATTTGGTGAGATGATGAGAGACCTCAAGCAGGAAGGCTAATTCTAAAAATAATTGTTTTGTGAACTGCCAAACTCTAGCGGATGAGTATAACCGGTAGTAGCCCACATTCAATTTTAGTAGCTCAAAATTTTCATGGTCATCATATATTTAATTTTTTAGGAGACATTAAAGATTGGTCAGGTTTTCATTCGACATATTGGAAAGCTTTCAACGAGATTTCTGGAAAAAGTTGTAAAAGGTTGAATTTCGTATTTTAACATGGGAAGAGATGGCAAATGAATTAGAGAAGTGAGTCCAGACTCTCTACCTCCCAAAATGGCGAAGCATCAAAATCTAAGTTATTTCCCTTGAATAGGACACCGTGAATTACCCGTTCTGTTATATACTGAGACCTCGTGCATTATGCATTTATGTTCTATATTAGATATGTAGGCCACATAATGTGAGTATTGTGTTTTGTGTTGTAACTGATATGCTACATTTCATTCAGCCCAGACATATAAGGTCGGCATTTAGCTGAATATAATGTTCCAAGTCCCGATAATTTAGCACAAGAGAGCAAGCAGTCTTCAAATAATGCATGTTATAGATCCAAGGTACAAAACTGTTGTGCAGTTTCTTATGATTTGCCTGGAATGGAGTAGGCCTATTGTTATATAGTTTTCGAGCTATCTGATTCGTTGGTATTAATATAGATCGTGACAAAGGGAATAACCTACGAGGTAATAACTTGTAAATTGCATTAAAAGGACAGCTTTTTAAAATGTTAGATCACATAATTCACCCCTTTTAATACCATTTAAAGAAAGTCTCACTGAAAACTTTCCTGGATGTCACAAGAAACCCTGGTCAATACTGTAGTAGGCCCTATCTGACCAAAAGTTTGAATGATCGATATAAAGAACCGTCTCTCCTTTAAAATCTGAAAAAGGTAAGAAATGTCGAAACAATCATTAATGCAGAATTTGTTTGTAGTCTGAGTCTGTAAAAAGAGTCATGCATATAATTTTGATGATATTGTGAAAAACATATAGTTAACTTTTAAAATTAAGCAAGAAGAATATATAATTTGTTTTGTTTTGAAATTGATTTATAATTTAGAGGAGTGGTAAAAGAATACATGAACGATAAGGGTTTCAGATTACATACAGCGAGATAAAAATTGTGATTATTTACTTCAGAGTTCAAAAGGAGTCAACATGAAAAATGTTCAGCTGTGCATTACAATCTCCCTTATTTCTTCATGTCTATTTGGAATTCTAGTCATTGTTTTTCATCCTATACTAATAAGTGTAACGTCCATATGTGCAATTATATGCTGGAGATACTGGAATGAAATTTGGGCTAGGTGGTTACCATATAAGGACCGCTATATAGTTATTACTGGATGTGATACAGGTAAATATTTGTTCGAAAGACTGTTTAATTTCCCATTCTAGTGTGCAGGGTATCGAGTGTCAGATGATAATATAGAATTTCCCCATCTGGATTTATACACACGTATTTTGTATCCGGTGCTATTCAGAACCATACTCTCGTGTCCAATGAGGTATCAGACATAAACATATAGCATAGGACTTTTTTACCTTCCTTGATCGGTCAATTCTGGTGGTAATTCTCTTCTAATTTAGCTAATTATGACATAATTTATGGACATGTGAGACAAACTGATATTTTTCCAAGTCATTAAAACACCTCTACTTTTTATTCATATAAGTATTAGCATTTTCATTTTCATAAATGAAAATAAGGGAAACCATCTTTAAATGAGAATACTTTCAGGTATAGGTCACGCTTTAGCCAAATCTCTAGACCACAAAGGATGCAATGTTATTGCTGGCTGCTTCAGACCAAATGAAGAAGGCACCAAGACATTGGTAAACACAACATCTAAGCGATTGAGAGTTGTCGAGCTTGACGTTACATCTGATGAATCTGTGGCACAATTCTTACAGAATACAAAGGAAATACTTGGTTATGAAGGTGACTATTTTTGCACATTATAGGGCTACCTTTTAGGAATGTCAAATTCACCTAAAAGTAAGCCAGCAGATGATAGTATCCAAGACTTGCGCACCAAATATTTTGAACCATCATCTAAATTGACAGCAATCAACAGACAGAATGAGTTTGAAAACCCCTGCTCTAAATTATGGAGCATATTTCTGAGCATCACCATATGAAATACAGATCACCATTACCATAATGCCAACACTACCAACAATTGGCAAACTACACAAAGTCCAACAATTAAAATCAATTAAATTTATCTAATCAAACAAAAATCGATTGGCATTATCGTATTATCATGCTTAATAACAACACATAAAATAATGTAGCATGTACAGTGGCCTCGAAATAGATGTGAACAAAAAAATAAGGAAGAGAGGGGAGGGGGGCAACAATATAGGCTATAGAAACGTCATGTGGGCATGGGCCGGAGATGTTCATGCTCAATTAATATCAATTGAATGCTGTGCCATTGTACATACCAGTTACACTAGCAGAATCTATCTTATTTAGAGCTATGGGGTTTGGTACATAATGCAGGTATGCAGTATTATGGTGAAGTAGAATTTATAACCATGGACTATTTTCAATATAATATGCAAGTGAATCATTTTGGTGCTGTACGGATGTGTAAAAGTTTTATTCATCTTCTAAGACAATCTAAAGGTATAACTCTTAAGATAAGAATTTTCAATGGTTTCTTCTTTAACATATTATTTATTATGTCAAATGTATAAAATCTATGAATTGAATGTTTTCAATAGCCCTAGAGCAAATTTTACCCCAAACAAAATAACATCCAATCCTCCAATCCCATGCCTTTATGATATATGTTATCTACACCACTAACGATTTAGTTGGGATAGGAATGATTGCTAAATTTTATTTTAGGTAGAATAGTTAATGTAACTAGTGTACTTGGTTTATACACCGTAAAGTATCGTTCTACTTATTCTCCTGCTAAATACGCTTTGGAAGTATTTTCTGACATTCTTCGTCGTGAAATGAAGAAATTTGATGTTGAAGTATCTATTGTAGAGCCTGGAGATTTCAGTGATGTTACTAGCATACAACAGGTTGGTGATCCTTCATTTTACACTTTAAACTAAAAAAAAAGAAAGTGGAACAACAGGAGAATCTGGTTTCTGACTGTTACTTTTCACAGATGAGTAGATATAGACATACACATTTTTTTTCATTTTCAGGTAGACCGAATGAAAGAACAAAATGCTTATCTGTGGAATCAGTGTCCAGATTATGTCAAGGATGCGTATACTGATGATTACGTAAAAAATTTAGGACTGCATTTGGTGGAGGACAATAAGAAAGCTTACAAAAATGATGTGTCCTTTGTAACAGACGCTATAGAAGATGGTCTGTTCTCCACTCATCCAAGTACTCGATACCTGGTAGATGGGCATGCATTTATACTTGACGTCTATACCGTAAGATATTTATTAACAGATTATTACAGGTTATGTAACCAGATACGATTCCTTCCCAGTAACAGGCATGTAAACTAAACAATCAACTAAACTGGATTGAAGGTTGAAACATCCATTGAAGATCCAATCAGAACGAAAATGTATTATCAGAATAGACAAGTCTCGTGCCTACAACCATAAAAAACCTATCTCCACAGGTATATTGTAGGGGGGTTTTCTTTGTAGCAGAGCCCAAACTTAGTAACACATCTGTGAAACCTTGCTATGCTTATTACATCAAGTAATTTTGATAGATAAAAGTTTTTTGTTTTAAAACTCAATCACTTTTGAAGACCTTTCGTTTTGTTATTTGTTATATAATTGTTTCTTTTTACAGTGGGCGGCAAGATTTTGTTATTTTGTACCGGACAGATTAATGGACTATATCGCTACCAGATATCTATAGATGTTTTTTATGTATTAAATGGTACAATTCTTCTATCATACTTCATTGCTTCAAAAAAGTGAACAGAGTATAAAGTTACAGCATCAGTTACATTCAAATATTGGGCATAAAAAGGTACCTTAAATATGTATATTTTAAGAGTCCCATTGTTCAATCTTATACCGCATCTTTTCATCTGTCGGGTACATGAAAGTAGCAGCATAATGTGGAATTAAAAGTCTGAACACAGGAGATGCTTTTTATCTGTTATACACATATTTCCTATATTAGAAAACCATCTGGATGTACGGTATAAGTAAACCGAAAGAACATAAGTAATGGGAGAGAATCTTGATTCAAGCATTCATGGATTGGCTTTGGAAAGCGTCATGGGTAGATTCTTGATTCAGAAAAGAGTGTTTAATGAAAATAAAGAAGAATTGTTATATATTTTAATCTGCCTCCATATTGTGTCTTGGGAAAGAGAATAAAAATAGTCCAAATCCAGCCCGTCAATAGGCACACACAACCTATAAACAACGTGTGTGCAGTGTTCTTTAATCTTGTCTCCAGCTTCAACCAAACGTCCTATTTTTGTTCATTTATCCCCTCACAGCGTTTATTTGGTCGTTTATTGAAGAATTATCACCGGTTCTGTAAATATATATTTTTTCGTTAAGTGTGAGAAGTGGAAACAATCCTTATCGGGCCATTAATGCTTGTGGTGTCGCTAGCGGAGCATGTTCATTCATCAGGAATCCTAGCGCTATTCTGATGCTGAATTTCCACTTTTGGTATATTCATTTTAGTGAATGTAATTCACTGCATCAAATTACCGATTTGCAACAAAAACTTTTAGTTGACACTCTTTCTAGATATGATCTGGTCTATGTTGGCTATGTTGGCGCTGTTCTATTTTAAGAGTTTCTACCCCTTTTACACCTTAATTTTCAATTTTGAGCTTCAGATCCATATAACTTGCAGTACATTTTAATATTTACAAATGTTAACGGGTCAAAGCGTGTCTGGCCTTACAAAATATAATCGGAACACGCCAGATAAAGGTGGTGTCGGTCCGGATATGGCTGTTCTTCTCCAGTATAAATGACGGTGAAACCTATACCAAGCCCAGATTACCAAATCTTCTGTGCGTGTGCGGAGCGTCACACTTACTTGGCGTACCATATAAACATCAAAATTCCTCTAATTTTACCTGTATATTTGACTTGAAGCTAAGATCAACTTTGTAACAGGCCTAAATTAACAAAAAAAAAACCAACAAAACAAAAACAAAATGCTAAGAGTGTTTTTCGTCACAATATGCACCAATTCAATTAGAAAACGATTCCATACAAAACTCGTTATACTGTTACATATTAATTCTCTGCACTGACGTTTTCTGGTTTTATTTGACAAAATACCCAAGATCAAACGGAAATTATGATAATGGTCTTTTCTACACGTTTTGAATTAGAGAACCAACACTTCGTTTGGAGTGTAGAGGGCCAGATACGGCACTCAGTACTCTTGTTATATAGCCAAGGACAAGTGTAAAAAGAGCATATTGGTAAAAAAGGAGTTCTAACATTTGTAACCCGTTGTCATATTTTTTTCGACTAACCGCCAATTATTGGAGTACAAAATCTGAGCCCAATCACTAATTCATTCCTGGCGACAGGATTTCTGCTGGGTTTCATAAGCATCTATTCTACACCACCTTTTTAATTGCTAGAAAATCCAAAAGATACGAAAGCCATTAGATACGGTTGCATGCTCCGAGATATGCACAGTTCTAGTATATTGATTTCTGAATGACGTTACATGTTTGATGAAACCGAAATTACTTTGGTTCCATAAAGTAATATAATTAAGAATTCCTTTAAGAATAGCCTACGCAATATAGATTCTTTGTTATATCGATTTGACAAAGATAGGTTCCTATTGAAATTTCATAATAGTAGGCAAAATGTGAATTTCTTTGTTTATTACCAAGATATTCAATCACATTTTAAAAAGATATTCATTTAACTCTAGGTTCTCAAAGTACATAGCTATTTTTAAGATACAGTCTCAAACAAATATCTACTTTAAAACTTGTTACAACACTGAGATCCAGCACTGTACGAAAATGAAATTAATGGAGTTTTACATCCTACTTTTCTGCACCTTGTGGGCTAATGAAGACGGGCAACGATATGCCAGGACAGCGGCATTAGCCTGCTCTTTTTCGATTTCCAACCGTCGAGGGATCTTTAACGTGCACAGCCTGTAGCACACGGGGCCTCGGTTTATTGTCCCATCCGAACGACTAGACGCTTTTTCCATGTCAGCCCCTCTTACCTGCATCACTGACAGGAGGAAACCGGGTTGAAAAATCCGAAGGTATTATCTCGACCTATGCCGGGATTGAACCCTGAACCTCCAGGTTAGCGAGCAAGCGTCTAACTCACTGAGCCACCGCGGCTCCCAGCAGCACAGTACGTGAATTAATATACAGGAACCATTGGCTAGAGAAAATATACTACAAGGGTAAGTATACAGGATCGACCAATATGCTAGATATACAAGATCGACCAATAGGGCAAGTATACAGGATCGACCACTAGGATAAGTCTACAAAATCGACCACTAGGGTAAGTATACCAGATCGACCACTAAGGTAGAAATAAAAGATCTAGATAAAAGATAAAACCATATATTCTGAAAACCTCAAGAAAAAATGTCATTTATCATGAAAGATCATTATGTGTCAAGTGTCGTCATATGCGATACGATACAGTTTTTGTCAAATTTAATACAAAGCGTGGACAAGTATTTGAAGTTGCTCATGGTCAGATAGCACAAGAGCCAATTCAGCTTCAGTGAAACGAAATTATTGGGCCGACCATGGATAACAAAAACAACAGATGGTGCAAATTGAAGTCCCAGTAACATAGGGACAGACAGCATAATGGGATGCCTCATTTGTGACCCTTTCATAGTGTCACCACGATTCCTGGCGAGTGAGGTCATGACTGGAATCGATATATTGACAAGTGAAACTTTTGAAAAATATTTCAATCAATTAATATGTCTCATGAAATTAGAACTTTAGAAAACAAATGCTACATGGCTTTCTGTCACACAATGCTATTGTTAACAAGTCAGGAAAAAGGTTCAAAGACTCTTTTCAACTCTTATAATTTCAGTTTATTTTAATCCTTACATACATATTGATAAACATGTTGATTTATTTTAACATTTAGTCCCATTCACATCCTCGCACACTTCCAGTACTTGGAAAAATCAGGTTTCTTTATATTGAGGTCAATTTGCCCCATTAATCCATTCTCTACCGATGTGTCTAATTCACTGATTCAAAGACAAATGTAAAATATCTTATTACCTATTACTTATAATTCAAACAACATAATGATTGAAATGCTAAAATCTAATGTTTATATTCACATGTAACTTAAATGTAAGTCCTTTCAAATAATTCATTTAGCATCTTCCAAAAATCTTTAATGATAAACCACCGTCCTTTTTGATAAATATCAGAAGTTTATTTTAAACTGTAAAGTGTCATTTCTAAATTGGAAAATGTTTGTAGTAAATGATAAGTGCAACTTCTTTAGTGTATTATGTCTTCTGTTTTATCTCAAATGAATTATCTTTATGCAAATTACCAAGGTCGCGACCCTATTTAATATTCAGCATTGCTACGTCATTCTTTTAAACAATGACAGTGATGGGATCCAATGCATTGTGGCACATAGATCATAAATTGATAAGGTAAGATATAATTGCCAGATTTTTCCATGTTACAATTTGATAGGAAAATACATGATATAGGGCCTACTTGTATATTGTTCTAGCATTTATATCTTACCTTATCAATTTATGATAGCCATCTATTTGTCACAATGCATTGGATCCCATCACTGAATATTTCCTCCTTTGTACTGGTCTTAAATGCAACTTGCGGTATAAACATCCCTCCAAATCTACATTTCTCATTGCACCTCTCACTCTATCCAGTTGTACATGGTCACCTTTACTTTTTAAATGGGGTGATTTATCATAATATCTACCACTTTCTGATCCAACTCTTCATCGGATATCAGACTATATCTCTAATTTTTATGTTATATTCAGATAATCTTCTCTGAATAGTTCTCATGCTTACATTATAAAAGTTTGCCATTTCCTGTGTGAAAAATTACAAGAAATAAAGACATTTAGTTGTTCTGAAAGAATAAATATCTTAGGTGCGCCAACAGTTCCAGCAGACCTTTCTATTTGGAATGATTCACTTGACACTGTACTGCAATTGAACGGTCAATGTATTCCAAGTTGTGTACAACAATTGGTTGAATTTAAATTAAGTTCCACACTTAGTTCAAGATCAATTGTCATTAAAATATTACAAACACATTCAAGTTGATGTTTAGAATTTTGTAAAGATTGTCCGGACTCCAAACTGTCTGCAACTCTACATATCCTCGGACTGATTTCAGACAAAATATCAACAGCAGACATCTTTTTAATTGTGAAG